TGTGAGACGCCAAATGGCAGGGTTTTGGGGTGTGTGTGTGTCATTTTTCCCTATGGGGTGGATGACAGATAAAGCTCAGTGGCTGCCCTATATGGCAAGCTTTGGCCACATGAGGCTCACAAAACTATTAATGCTTGCCCCTGGCCTAATGATACATGAAGCGATCAACCTACTGAAGCTAAGCAGGTCTGGCTCTGGTCGGTGCTTGGATGAGAGATGTGTATGGCCTCGAGCTTTTAGGGGGTTTGATGGTCCATGTAACAAACTAAGAATGATAGCCAGCATTTTCAGTCAGACCACACCAAATAGCAGGATAAAAGCAATGAGCAAAAAAACATTTCAAGTTGATCGTAGCAGAACAAAGATTCTCCCAAGTCAGAATATATATTTGATCCAGGAAGGATATGGGGAATTCACAGAATACCCTTCTATTTTAAGCATGTGTTGAGCCACCCAGCCCCTGACTGCTGCGTTCTCACATGTACGAAGTCAACTCAGGTCACCGTGCCTTTTCAGACAGCTCTCATTATTTTAAAAAAGTGGATTAAAGGAAGTTGTTGAGACACATTCAAAGTCTTTAAGTGGACCTGATCCATGCACGGCACAAAGGCAAAGATGTTGGCACCCACAGTTTATTGCAGACGTGAACACCCCAAGTAGGTCTCCCTTAGCATTCGGCACCCACCCAGATGCAACCCATTCCACCGAATCCGTTCATTCAGCCAGTGGCCGAGGATCCCGTAGCTAAAATGCTGCACATGCTTGATGGTGCCAGGCCAGTATCTATTACTGTAATGCAGATCTTGGGAAAGTATTTGGGGAGGGCGAGTACAACTCCGCCTCTCCCCCCCACTGCATATCCATACCATTGGCTCAAAGGTGTCATATTCACACAAGCAAGCTGACAGCTGGGTTGAAAAAAAGCCACCGGAGCCATCTTGTTCCACCTATCCCAAGACAGCTAAGGAAACAGACTAGATCTTGCCCCCAAAATCTGTATATTTGCAAGACAAAGTGGCCTGTATTCTGGGCAGTGGACTACCTAGAGAGGCTCTCCGTGTTAGGACTTACAAGCTACCCCTGTCTGCAAGGCTTCTAGGGCGTTTTGGAGAAAGCAAAATGCATGGGCAACAATCTACCAATTTAAAAAAAAATTGCTCACAACAAACACATTCATTGGAAAAATGCACCCAAGCACGTTCTAATCAATGCAAAAACCTATATATATCAGAATAATCACATGCAAACAAGCATACATGTTGGGGAAAAATAACATTAATTTAAATTCATATCTGGGCAGGAAAAAAACCTGTCACATTCCACAAATACAAGAGCAGGTGATATTTTTATTGAACCACTCAAAATCAAGCAAGTTGCGAACTTTTGGAGAGAAAATTCTACTTCTTCAGGCTTTATGGATAGTGCAGATAATTTGTACTTTGTTTTTCATACAGTTCTTCTGCACTGTCCATAAAGAGGCTGTGTTAAGCCTGAAGAAGTGGAATTTTCACCACGAAAGCTTGCAGTTTCTTTGATTTTGAGGGGTCCAATAAAAGGTATCACCTCCTCTTGCATTTGTGTAACCTTGGTGTGTAACTTGAGGCTTTATACAGCCTTCTCCTTGTTCTGTCACATTCCAGTATAGATTTTTAAGAAAGGCTCACACAGTAGTATAAAATGGTAGGAAATCAAGGAACACAGTAAGAAAGAGATTGACCATTTTTCACATCCCTGGCCTTTGGGGCACAAGACACAGAGTGTTGATTGTGCTGGCGTGATCCAGCCTCTGTGTCTTAAGACAGGAAAGAGAAACGTGTGGGATTCCAGATCTTATTGGATCACCACTCCCATCAGTGGTAGCTGCCAAGAAAAGGGGAGAGGTGTCGTTCAACATGACCTGGAGGACCACACATTCCCCGCCCTCCCTTGCCTTAAGGTGAGAAAATAGTTAATTGCAAAATGAGCAGAGAGGAATATTTAAGACCCTCCCGTGTCAACCATTTGAGGAAGCTGCAGACATGTCATAAAGGGCCACAAGGGTTTCCTCAACCTACCTAGGAATTCTATACTTACAATGACCCCGGGGTAATAACCTCCGACCGACACATTCTGGGTCCGTGTGGTAGCTGCGAGGCCAACAGTGAGAATCAGCAGAGACACAATGAGGAGAGTCACCGTTACGTAGAGGGAATTCTTCTTCCTTCTATTGAAAGACCCTAAAGACACAAACACAGAGAAACACACATATGTTAGAATCTGATCAGCCCAAGAACAGAATCGTTGAGGCAGACCAGCTCCTAGATATTCTTCACATTCTGCAAAGCTTCGGTTGCCTCACGATGGCTCACTTTTGCATCCCAGCTGTAGGAGCACAAAAGCTTTTGACCTTCTTCATGCACTTGAGAAACTGGGCCACCATCCATGAACACCTGGGGCAAGTCTAACGTGTTAGTCTAATTTGCTGCTGTTTCAACAGCCCGTGCTCTTGGCAAAGATCTGGATATCTGTTCTCAGAAGGAAGCCTTTAGTCGGACTTGGTCCCAAGTGTGAGTGCCTGGGAGGGGATCTGCCAGCTGCCACCCAAAAAAGATCCATTTGTGGAATGAGAACTCTCCAAAATCAGGGAAGCTTCCTCCACCTGAACAAAGGTGCTTAAGATCAGACTGCAAACTGGAAATGTTACCTTTGGGGCTACCAGCTTCAGATTCCCCACAGGGGTCCATTCAAGGATTTAAAAGAAGGGGAGGACTCAACAAGCATAGACCCTTGGAAGGAGAGAGATCTTGTGGTGCCGTGGTTGTGGCAGACTAAAGGAGTACCCACAGAGCCTTGCAATTCACTGTGTGACTACTGGGCAAGAATGGGTACCGTTCCCCCGAACCCACCTCACAGTCAACAAACGGGCTTGATCAGTGCCTGGATGGAGAGCCCTTCTGGGCACCTGCCAAACCTTTGAGGTATCAAAGTCTGAAATAAGGAGCAAGGAACACCAGCCTCTGCTTCGCCTGGACCCAGTCTACGTCTTCCCTTGCATCGGCACTCTCTAACAACGAAGATCTGCCTTTTCCAGCCCAGCCTTCTCCAGCAGCATAGGACCACAATTCCCATCCACCTCTTATACATGTAGACACTGGCTATGGATGATGGACACCGCAGTGCATCTGGAAGTGCGGAGGAACCCCCGTCTAGGCTGACAGGCAGAAGCTTTCCAAATCCCTTCTCATGGATAAAGAGTCTTATTCTACCTTAGGAGGAAAGGACAAAGTCTGGATGAGGGTGTTTGGGCAGGCAAAGAGTGTGTGTGTCCCCCCCCCGGTCCCCCAAGAGAGCCATGGCCCGCGCATCCGAGAAGAAAGGCCGGGGGGGCACTAACGGTTAGTTCATCGCTCTCCTCCGCTTTTCCAGCCCCATCAAAAGGAGATCGGGGTGGCAGCTTGAGCCTCCTCCTGGCCCCGCACCTGCTTTTCCACGAAGAGGGCCTGAAGCAGGACAGGCTGCCAGGATGCCGCCCACTGCGAGGCAGCCGCTCGAGCAGGACAACTCGGCCCGGGTGGGGCGGCTTTTAAACGAACCCCCGAACCCAGCAGCGACGGCTTTTCAGCGGAGACGCGCCCGGGTGGGAAGCGCCGGGGCGCCTCTCGCTCCTCCGGGACCTACGCAAAGCAGGAGGCCGGGGCGGGAGAGGGGAGGGAGAGCGGCCCGTCCGGGCCATCGGCCACCCCTCCTCTCGCCCCCCCAGCGAAGGCAAGCGGGGCGCCTTCCTCCTGCCCCGTCCGCTCCGCCAAGGGCGCAGAGAAGCGCCCTCGTTGCGCACGGCTCCTGCGCGCACAGGGAGGCTGCGCCGGCGGCCCTTTGGCCCCTCGGGGGACCCCCGTCCCCTCCGGTCCTGAAACTCCCCCCCCCCTCCGCCAGGAGGGTCCCCGCGCACGCCAGGGGCTCACCCACGGAGACGGAGAGCGGGATGGCGCTGGCGCGGGCGGAGCG